TGAGATATGATAACATGATGTATGATGATTATTGTGATGAGATATGATAATATGATGTATGATGATGATTGTTACGATGAGCTATGATGACATGATTTATGATGATGAATATGACGATGAGATATGACGTGTAATGATGATGAATATGATGAATGATGATGCACCATATGCTGTTATTATGAGGATTATTGTGAAGTGTGCATCATGCATTCATGTGCATCCGGACTTCGGTTCAGGACTTCGATTATTTTGGCTTCAATCCCACTGTGTGGATGTGAAGTATTTTGACGTGCTCCGATCCTATTGATGGGGATCTATGGAGGATTGATGGCCCAGTGTCCATCGAGCTTTGATGATTGGTAGCACATGCATTAAGTCTATGTTGCATATGCATTTATGAGCCTTTGTGTATAAATTATGACGTTGTGGCCTTTGAGGCATATTTGAAGGATATCAATGTGTTGAATATAACTATGAGTAATATGCCATTTATGCATTAATTGTTATACATTGATTATTATGAATTGTTTTACTCACCCTGCCTGTTTGAATGTTACCTCCACGTGGGTAACGTGTAGATGAGCAAGTTTAGCCGTGGACGCCGTCGAGGAGTATTTTGAGGTTTTAGAGTCGTTAGCCTTTATGGTTAATTTAGAGGGTCTTGCTCTGATATGTAACATCGGGTTGGGTTCTTTGAGTTGATTGTATATCATTGGGTTATTTTACTGATGTTCCCTTATGAGGAAAGCATTGAGTTATGTTTAAGTTCCGCTGTATATGATGTTTTGATATATTTTGAGAAAACCCGTGTGGTTACGGAGTATTGACCAATTTTGTTGACTTTGAGAAATGTACGCCCTTTTGTGGCTTTTTAATGAAAGTTAATATTTTACTCTGAAATCCGTGTTATTTTGCCGTAATATCTGTGAGGTAGAATAAGGGTGTTACACAAAAGCTAGAGAGTTTTAGGTTCGGGGTTGGTTAAACTTAGGGAAGGTGCTAGCATCCTAAGTTTTTGTAGTACTCTACAGGAACCTTTTGTTTTATGTTGTTTATTGCTAAGGGTTATCTACTTAAGGATAAAAGACCTAATGGTTTAATTCTAAGTATACTCGCCAAGACGTCGCATCTTGTGCTTACATATCTTGACGGGAATGGAATCAGAGTAATTGTAGTTCCCCTAAAGGGTTTAAGGAAGTCTTTGACTGTGGTCAAAGTTCCTACGGGATAAAGGTATGTTGATTGATTGGTTCTAGGAGAAAAGTCAAGTTGTCATCTTAAGGGAGATTACTCGACTTTAGCCACCATAAATTGTAGGAAAATAGTCTTTGCATCATCTTAAGAGAAGGGCTCAAGCACTCAGATTGTCGACAAGTATGTCACTATCTCTCTTAAGTGGAAAAATCCCTACATATTGATTGTATTGTTTATGGGGCAGGAGATTTACACCTCATCAGTCAAGATGACTCATGTCTTATTCTCTAATGTGTTTGAATAAGTTTTGAATTGAGTTGAACTGTTTTCGTCTAAGTTGTAAAAATAAAAGACAAAGGTCCTCCTTATGGTGTAGGATCTATCTTAAGAGATCAACTTGAATGGGATCAAGGATCAAGTGGGGAGTATGATGCAAATGCGATGCATACGCGCAAGTTTTACGTTACGCGCAGATTCTTCCTTTGGACGCTTATGCAATGCGGGAAAGTAAAGGACGGTAAATATAAATTGCGGATAAAGTAAAAGCACACAAACGCATGAAAGCGTTAAGACATACAAGTGAGTGAAAGTGAGGAGGTGAAGCGTAAGTCGGTGCGAGGGATTGAAGCGTGCACGATTGATTGATTACAATGTTAATTTTAATTTTAAGGATGATCTAACTTATTGTTAAATTATCTTAATTATTATATTTAGTAATAGTCTATAGAGGTGATTAATTAGATTTAAGTAGAAATGATTTTGAATAAATGGTTTATTAAATAGAAAAAAAGGTTTTATTAAATATGTGGATATTTCTTTATTATTATTGATAATTATAGGTTATTATTATTTTTTTTAGTTATAGACCGAGTCTTTTTATTATTAAATAAAATACACTTAGTTATTATATTCTTTTGGGAAATCTTATTAAATAAATAGTTTATATTATAAAAAGGTCTTTTATTGAATTAAAAAGTTAAATAGGTTTTAATATTGTGAAAAGAAAGTTGTTATTATTAGATAAAAATGAATTAAAAGAAAATCATTATACTTTTTAGTCGGAAGTTATTTAGAAAAGTGAGTTTTGAATAATTATGTTGTTTAATGGATTAATAAAATAGAGAAAAGACTTAGTATAAGTTTTTTTTTATTGTAACTAGTTATTAGTTTTTATATTTATAAAAAAATTTAATTAAAATTACAGTTAATTAGTTAATTAATAAAATAAAATAAAAAAGAGTCAAATAAAAGGATTAAATGGTTTATTAAATAGAAATTATTATTAAATTATTTACTAGATTAAAAATGTCATTAATCTTAATTCAAAGATAGGTTGATTAAGGTTAAATCAAATAAAGAATAATTAGTTATATTTTAAAAAACGGTTGGTTTAAAAGGGATTACTGGTCCATTAATTAAATTGAGATCACTTAATTATTAGTTAGAGGGTTAATTAGAGATTAAAGGGGTGGTTAAGGGATGCCAAAATGCTTGTGTAACATAACCCCTGATAGGATTTGGGTCTGGAGATAATAATGCAGCCAAACCTTAGATGTTTCCCTACATGTCATGAGTGTATACTTAACATCATGTCGGTTTCCCCATATGCTCGCATGTTTTCTTCGAGTCTCTAATTCTTAAGCCTTCAGGATTTGGATTCTCTTGATGACTTTAATTTTAGTTTTAACAATTTCAAATGAAACTTGTGAGGAACATGTAACTTTTGAGCTTGTAATGAATCTCTCAACTTAAGATTTGTCTTAAAGTGAGAACTTTAATCTGTGATTTTGAATTCATAACTTGTATACCTAGATGGTGGATGTGTCATGATCATGCTAATAAACCAACAATTTGCAAATCTTGATTTTAAACGCTTTGACGAAACCATGAAACTCTCGATGATGGCCAAACTTATTCAGAGAGTAATAAGCCCAAAACCAACATTACCTTGCAGCCAAGCCTTAACTACCATGGCCCAAATCAAAATATCCTAAAGCCCAACAAACTTGAGTTTTGAGATCTATGTACCATACCCTCAAGAACAAGCATATAATGATACAATAAAGGAGAACCACCGTCTGGTCATGACTTTAATGGTCACAAAAATCCATCAAATCCGTCTTCAAATTTATGCTTTCTGAATAGCCCTAATATGCTTGTAAGAATAAGTATCGTCTTCATTTGAAATTCGTGTACCTGCACACATTTGTTAGCCATAATAAACACGTACAAAAGTAAAAAAGAAAACACGAAAAAAAACGAATGAGGTAGGATCTTAAGGTTAAAAATTAGGGTGTGACACATTTCCAGATATATGGAACATTGTAGTTGAAATATTGTCTAGTGAGCCTTTAAATAAGGTCATTCCAATTCAAAATGTTATGTAGTAGATCTTCACTGAGGTTCAAAATTCCTTTTGGTATCAAAGGTTGAGGAGGAACAGGTTGGATGTGTATTTATATACTTGATGGATATTTTCATTTGTATTTATGGATAATTTTACTATTGGATAATTTGCATTTCTAGATAATCTATAGGATGATATGTTTTCACATCATTTGGTTATAATATTATTTATGTGTTTTCATGTTACTATTAACAGTGATATTTTTGTAAGATAAAGTACAATATGTATTTTAAATGTAACATAGTTAATTAGATGTTCAAATTATAAAATTCAAAACATCTAGAATGACAAAAACTAGGTTTGTTTAAAACCTTATGAACCGATGTGTTGTTTCAGTTCAAATTATGGGATCTGAATGTGTAAAATACATTAAATAGACATTTGGATTATAGAGTTTGTATCTGTTATGCCTACAGCAGGCTCTCATGGGTTTGAGCAAGTATAACTGAACCATTCCTTTAATACCTATTCATCTCTTGCAAATAAGAGACATAGAAGGGGGTGTTATTTCTTCACAAGACGGCTATTGGTTTTTGGATGAGTTTCATGAAACTAGTATGCAAACACAGTGTAAAACATTTAGTTCATGGAGTAGTCAAGTTGACATAATCAGGTTCTCCATTTAGTATGCATAGATTATGCAATCAGCCTCTTGTTAGGCATATTTTTTATTGTCAATAGGTCCGATTGAATTGACTTATTTGAATTAATCTACTATTATAAGCACTTATGATATTTAAGAGAGTTTATGAAAACAAAATAGAAAAACATCTCATATAGCTTATATGAAAGTTATTTGACTTTATTTTATTTTTTGTTATAGAAATAGTTTATACATAAACACTTATATGATAAGCAATTATGCTACAAGCGTTTTATGAAGTTGTTTATCCAAACAGGACCGATGCTAATGACCAAAATTTCTCTAGAACCAATAATGCAACTAAGATTATAATAAAAACAAAGATAAACAATGAAAACAATATTTACTTTTTTAAGTTAAAATTCAGAACTTGCCTACATCCAATGCTGCAACATGATGGCCCCTACTAATCATAGCTAGCATCCGCAAGAAATAGTGATTGCAGAATGAACCTGGGATTGAATGAGGTTTTATGATTAGTATAAGTGAACGAAATAACATATTTTACAATTGATGATATAGTTAGAATATTAAAAATTCCAACTTGAGAATAATTCAATAATATTCAAATTTTGATTTAGTTTTTATATATAAGAAAAGAGAAATGATACCTATGCCCAAAGTGTAAATTCGGGGGAATATTGATTCTCCTCTGATCCCATTCTTTATCATATCACAAGTTTGTCTCTCATCTTCAACAGTTCCATCTGTAACTAGGAAAATAATTGGAACTGATATTCGAGCATCAGATAGCATCTATATTGCCTGCAAATGATTCGGACCAAAGCATCCAGTTGTTACTAATCCAGTGTTCTCAATTGTGAGTCACGGAAAATACTAGTTTGTTCAAATTTTGCTATGCTACAGTGCTATAGTGTTGCTATAGAGGTTACTTGACAATACTACTAAACTGCATATTGCAAAATAGTAACAATTTGTTCAAACTCGACTATGCGGTAGTGCCGCTATAGCTTGTATTAACATTGTACTAAACAGACACTAATAACAATTTGTTTAAATTCTGCTACGCTAGGGTGTCATTATAAAATTTATCAAATAATATACTTGGCAATAAGCTACGAGATCTATAGCTACGCACTGATGGTGAAAATTTTTGTATACGTCGTGCATCCAATCAAATCAAATAAACTGTCCTTTTTACAAATTAGTTCCTAAAGTATCTACATAGCGTGATTTGATTGAATGCACGTGTAAAAAAGTTTTACACACGGTGCATAACTTCTAATCTCTTAAACTAAACTCATATCCAAGAAAAAGAATAATTTGTATGACTATATAAGTTACCATGTTTAATGGACGCATAAGATTTGTATCACCCCCAGCAACAAAGTTTATGTTGATCCATTCAATGGCCCTTTCAACAGCATCGCTTGAAGCCAATTCCATTGAAGTTGAAAATTGATAGATCTCTCCATTAAATGCTATAGTACTAAATGAATCATCGGGATCAAGCTTGGAGAGAGCAGCTGTTAATGCATTCTTAGTGTCATTAATTAGCTTTCCTCGCATGCTTCCACTTATGTCAATAACAAATACAATGTCTTTTCTGAAGACCAAGTACTACAAAAATATGCAATAAAAGAAAATGGGATATGCAGTCAGTATAACAAATTGACAATCAATCACAACTTGTTATCACCAGTAATCCAGACAAGAGCAACTCCCATCTTTAAAATGATGAAACCGATTTCGATCTCTAACTATAATATCTCTTCCATACTCCGACGATATTAGCTTGGTAAACGCATGACAATCGCCACAAACTCGAAGGTTTTTAATAATTCTTATAGCTAAACTCGAAGGGGACACTATAAGAGCAAATGCTATGGCTAGCCTTTCACTATGGTAAGAAAGTACACCTTCCTTATCTTCCTCTTCTACATCAAACAAAACCTCTGATGTTCTCGCATTGTGACCGTATTCTTGTAGTCTTCTATTAATCTCCGCGATCTTCAAATATATTTCTTTTGAAAACGGATGAGTTTTGTCACCTGTAAGAAACTCGTGCATGGCACCATTTATCTCCACTAGGCTAAAACCCGGCAACTTGTTAACACCGTGATGTTTCATCAACATCCTAACTCTCTTGACATCATTCCACCTAGCAACACTAGCGTACATATTCGACAAAAGAACATAGTTTCCGCTAGTTTCTGGTTCCAACTCTATTAACTTTCTGAGAGAAACTTCTCCCATATCTAACTTCCCATGAAGTCTTGCTGCACCAAGTAAAGACCTCCAAATTACCGCGTTTGGTTTCATTGGCATATCTCGTAACCAATCCTCCGCTTCCTTTAACCGCCCAGCTCGACCTAAAAGATCAATCAGACATCCGTAGTGCTCGAGTTTTGGTTCCACCCCATGAACCTCCTTCATGGACTTGAAAATCTTCAACCCTTCTTCCACTAATCCAACATGAGAGCAAGCAAACATGGTAACCACAAACGTCGCATCATCCGGAACTAAACCCTTTAATTTCATCTTTCTATAAAGCTCAAGCGCTTGATTCCCGTAACCATGAATAGCAAAACCCCCAATCATTGCATTATAACAAAACGTATCCCTATCTCTATCAGCCATTTTATCAAACACCTGACATGCAAGATTCAAACACCCGCATTTCGAATACATATCAACCAATGCAGTTCCAACAAACCTATTCACCATAAGCTTATTCCTTAACACAAAACAATGAACCCAAAAACCATGACTAAGAGCACCTAAACTAGAACATACACTAATCAATGCAACAATTGTAACTTCATTAGCTCTTACTTTAGCCACTTGCATATCATGAAATAAACACAAAGCTTCCCATGAAAATTCAGCATCACCAAAACTATTTGCATAAGCACCCAAAATAATATTCCAAGTAGCCAAATCAGGTTGATCAATTTGATCAAAAAGATATCTAGAAACACACAATTTCCCATATTTAGCATAGAAATTAAGCAAAGAGCCTTGAACAAAAAGATCATAGGGTGGTTGAAGAAACTTCAAAACATGTGTATGAAGTAATAAACCATATTGAAACCATGACGGGTTAGAACAACAAGCTTTGAAAAGAGAAGGAAAAGTGAAACTATTGGGTTTAAGATTTTTGTGTGTGATGATTTTATTATAAAGTGAAAAGATTTTATTTTGACTATTTTGATGATTAATCAATGATGAAATGAGAGTATTGTAGAGGAAAATTGTTGGGTTTGGGATGTAATTGAAGATGGTTAAAGCATAGGATAAATCAAATTTAGAGGAAATGTTAATGAGGTGACTAAGGCAATATGTTTGAAGTGAAAGACCAGTTGTTATGATTTGGGCATGGATTTGTTTAAGGCTGTTGAGGTTGTTGCATTTTTGTTGCAATGTTTGGAGTGTTGGGTGGTTAAATATGTGGTTTTTAGGTTTCATGAAATGACAAATTTTCCGGCGATAACTCCCGGCGATGAGTTTTGAAGACGGTGGTGGGAGGAGGAGTTGGTGGTGAGTTGTGTTGTGAGTAATTTTCAATGCGTTGCAGAGGAAAACGAGGAGTTATAAGAAAAACAATGGTTTGGATAAGGTTCATGAATATCAAACCGGTGCCTACTCTAAACCGGTTTAAAACCAAATAAAAACTGAATAGACACTTGTTTGTGAAATAACTAGTTTTTACTTAAAAAACTAATTTTAAACCAAGCCAAATTATAAAATTGATTCAATTTGATTTTGTTTCCTTTATAGTACTATGCACATCTCTCACTATCCCAATTAGAGATTTATGTAATGCACTAAATCAAATAATAATAAATATCACGTCACAACATTCCACTCCATTTGTTCACTTTTAAAAACTGAATTTTAATTACTAAACTATTTGAAAAAAGTTATATTATTAAATTGGTTTAATTTGCAATAATCATTTAAAAAATATAATTAATTTCAGTTTATTTTAAAATCAATTTAAAATCGATTTTTATTTATAAATAATTTATCATCAATTTACATTTATAAACTAATTTAATATTTTGAAATTTTTTTATAACTATGTTTTCAATTTATTTATTTTAGTAATAAAATAAAGACTTTAAAAAAATTCATTTTTTATTTTTTATAATAAAATACTAATAGAAGACTCATGCAGATGCACGGGTAAGAACATTTATATATTAAGATTTGTTTGAATTAGATTGATCAAAGCATAGATAACAGTTATTTTTCAAAATATTTGTTTGATTTAGTACATTGTTGATAAATTGCAACCAAAAAAAAATTTAAGAATGTTAGGTTTTATTTTATAAAAAAATTGTATTATATCAACAAAACACTGATATGGTAATAAATATTTTGCATAAGCAATTATTTTTTATCGTTTATTAGTTATTTTATATCATCATTAGAGTATTTTTTATTAATTAAAATTATAGTATAAATGAAATTATGGATATAAGATATGCATTAAAAAATGGTTATAGCAAAAAATTAACCCAAATATTTTAAACGTTGGATGTTATATAGTGGATGAGACGAGCTTTATAATTTAATATAAGATAAAAAGTTGGATGATGATAAGTTGTTTGTTAGTATAAGATATATGGAAAAGGTGGACCCAAAATAAATTGATTGTTAGGGGCCCAATACTGTCAGATAAAATCAAACTTTAGGGTTCAAATTGCCTTTTCAGAACAAACCGTGAAAGAGGAACGTGTAACATTTTGGGTATTTCATCTGGGTCTTTCAAGAACGGAAAAGGAACTAAGGATGGCTACAAAAAATGGAAATGAAGGTCTCATAAGGTATCATTCTGGGTATTTCAGTCTTCTCCTTTACACGTTTCGTGTATCGATTTAGTAATGTGTCGTAATCGTTTGCTATAGTTGCCGCTACTCGAAAAATGCAACGACGGGGAAGCGAAAAGAAAGACAGAAGAGTCGTCACCGAACTTTATTTATCCCATGAGGGAAAAGGGAAATATCGAGAAAACCTTAAGAAAGGAACGGATAAGATGGTCTCGCAACCAAGAATGGGTTCGGAAGTCGGTTATGCGAAGGGAAGGTATTAACACCCCTCGCATCCATTGTACTCGATGGGAACCATTTGTTTGTCTATGTGTGATGATATCTGCTAAATATTACTGCTATAAAGAGTGTTCCAAGGGATAAAGAGAGGTTATAAATAGGGGAAAGAGAGGTAATAGGGGAAGAAGAGAGAAAGAACAGACTCGGTAGAACTTCGTGGTCCTAGGCCTACGTATTCTCAACAAATATGAGAAAGTCAGAGTCGACGTAGTTCGGGGAACTACAAATATAGGGGGAAATGTGCTCGACAATGATTGTGGCCCTTGTGCCTACGTATCTTTACTTACAAGAGGTAAAGAATCAGAGCAGTCGTAGTTCGGCCTATGGTTTGCTGGGAAGTTCAGGTGGACAATGCTATCGTGCACATTTTAGCAATTTAGGTGTACTGTTGCTCGCTCGTTGGAGACTTAGGCGTTACCTGTTTGCGGTAGAACGGACGTAGCATGCCCTTAGAACAGGGGGAAAGGTGGAAAAGAAAGAAAAGTGCTCGCCAAGACATCACCATCTTGTGCCTACATATTCTCAACATGCATGAGAAATCAGAGCAACTTAGTTCGTGATACGGATAACTGGTGTTTTTGTGGATGGTGTTATCGTGCGTATTCTAGCAATTTAGGTGTATTATTGCTCACTCGTTGGAGATTTAGGCTTTACCTGTTTGTGGTAGAACGGACGTAACATATCTTTTTTGAAGAGATTCGTTTTCGCCATGCGAGGCAAGGTGTCACGTTTGATTTGTGAGTTGTCTTTTTAGGGGTGAAATAGGTCCTCGGATAGTAACCCCTTGTAGGTAGTACCCAATTCGTTATCTCAAAGTTTTTGTTATGAAAAGGTGTGGCGAATACAAGCGCGTCTTCGTATTAAAAGACGAGTATCGAAACCACACACTCTATAGTGAGTATCCTGACACTCAGAGAGCAAGAAGTCTACACTCAATCCTCTATCTTTAATTCAATACAAAGAGAATTGCATTCTCTTATTAAAGATGTTTTTGGTTTTGAATGGTAAGTGTTTTACGGCAGTGAACCCTACGGTAATGACAACACTCGGGATAAGAGAAGGCCTACGCCTAACCACTCCACGACCATTCAAGTTTTTGTTGTGAAAAAGATTTGAAAATGCACTTGGTACGAGACTGAGGTTTTAGGAGAGAAAGGTTTCGAGCAGAAGTTGTGAAAAGATGTGGATACGAATATGAAGAATATATACAAGATACAAATAATATATAGGATATGTAGCCAACAGTCCACCAATTAGGATTTTATGGTTTCGATATTTATTTTAGTATTTTGAAAGAATGTACAAGTTAGTTTAAATATTTACAAGATATGGATAATGTACAGGATATAACAATAATATGTACAAGAATATAATGACTGAATTTAAAACAGTTAATATTTGACAGAAATTAAAGCAGTTTGTATATTGACAGAAAATAAAAGTTAGTCGTCAGTTTGTTAGTGGATTGAATTGGGACAAATGTGATGCTAAACTGTCGTAGCTCGACTATGATGGAAGTCGAACTGTAGGAGGTCGCATAATTGATATCCGTGCAAAAGACAAGATAGAGAAATGATATTGAGGATCATTCTCCGATTAAATCGTGTCGCACAAACCAAAAGAGGTGGGATTTTGTCTTAATCGCAAACAAAATGTCGATTAATCGAAGGTAGCCTATCGCGATCCCAAAGTAAAGAAAATGACCCAAATGGTCATTTTCCATAGATTTGAAATCGGGAAGGTTATCAACTCCGATACGCGATGCTTACGAATAGAAGACTTCATAGATCGCAGAAACTTAAATGAAAATTGAAATGAGGAGAGAAAGAGGGTGGTCTCGGGCAAACCTCCATCTATCAATAATTTGACCGATGATGGTTTTGTGGTCTCGTCATCGACCGAAAAATGAAGAAAGATAGAAGTGAAATTAAGATAAGAAAAACCTAACCAGATGAAAATATAAACATAAAAATGAATAAAAAATTCTATGACAATTTTTAATAATCTCTAAAAAAACCAAATTAGAAAAAAAAACATTAGAAACTTTAAAAATTAAGTTAGAAAAGTATTGAAAACTCTAAAACTAAATGAAAATAATTTTAAAATTCTAAAAACTACTTTATAAAATATATTAACAATTAAAAAAAAAACTAAACACTAATTTAGAAAATTATGTTAAGACTTCTAAAAAACTAATTTTAAAAAATATGTTAACAAGTTCTAAAAAAACTAATTAGAAAGAATATGGACAAAAAAAACAAGAGGTGGGTGCTAATGGATGAGTCATTTGGGCTCAAGGCTCATCCTCTTCCTAACAAAGCCACATCACGGGTTGTCATAACAGAGGGGGTGGAGGTAAGCAAAACCAAGATGGGCCTAAAACCCTCTAACCCATATGAACCAAGTGACACAACGTGGCCTTGAAGAAGAAGAAATAACTGCATTAAATTTTACACAGCTAAAAGGCAAAAAATACAATCTGAAAGTCTTTACACAACTACAAGTTTCTTTTTTTTATGCAACAAAAAAAACCTTCATTTGCAACAACAACAAAAAAAAGAGCTAAATCGAACAACACTCATCATGATTTCAACCTTTCCTCAAGATCTTGGTCGATTTCGGCTTCGCACTCTTCCTGTTACTCGGATTCGATACAACTCCAAGTTTGCGGTTATTTACGATCTCAAATCATCTCCTTTTTCCTCTACTCTCTCTGCTTTCTGTCGAATGGGTTTTGGTCATAGAAGTGGTGAGAAGATGATAAGGTGGAGGGTGGTTGATGTTGGCTGAGAAACATGAAGGTGAACAGAGAGTTTGGATATGGAAGAAGGGTTGCGTTGTGGTCCGTTAATGGTGGTTTTCTAGGTGGTTTTAAGATGAGATGATGATGGTGTTTTGAAAGTTTGGAGGTTTGGAATGGTTTGGTAGGTTGCGAAAGTTTACAGAGGAAGATAAAGTTTGTGATGGTGAAGAATAAGATGTTGAAAAAGGTTCTTTTGATGTTGTTCTGGTTGAGATTTAACGGAAGGTTGTGAGGTCACGTTGTGGGTTTTCAGTTTCTGGGTTTTGAAGAAGTTGTGGTGATGAAGACGAGAGGGTTTGATGGGTTGAAGGTTGGTTTTTGAAAAATGGAGCTGAAGAAGGTGTTTCTTGCATAATAATGGAGAGTGTTCTTCTTGCTGAAGAAGGTGATGATGATGATGTGATGGAGATGATAAAAGGGTGCGTCTCTGCGTTTTTGATTGGATGGAGGATGAAGATTCTGAACAGTGAACAAGGGAGGCGGCTAGGGTTCTTCAGGGCTTGAAGGAAGAAGAAACGTGAATAGTGTAATATATACTAGACAGAAGACAC